TCCAGAGGAAGACACTGCAGCGCTGGGCGAGTGTTCCACTGGGTCAGGGGTGTAGGTTTGCCATGGGGGTGGTCCCACATGACTGCAGCCACCACTTCCACATACCCGCCAGGAGGAAGGGGATGTCTCCTGTCTTTAAGGACATTTCCTAGGTAAACACCATTGGCCAGGACAGAGGTCCATGCTTTCTGTAGTTGCAGGGGAGGATGGGAAATGTAATCTTTATGTCAGATAGCTACATGCTCGGGGAACTGTTGCTGAAGGAGCCTTGGAGGGGTTGTCAAGTAATCATTGGGTTGCTAACCTCTAAGTCAATGGTTCAAAGCCACCAGCCACTCGACAGGAGAATGAGGAGGCTGTCTGCCCCCGTCAAGGTTTATGGCGCCTTCAGAATCAACTCCATGATAGTGGGTTTGTGGGTCAGGGCTGCTGATGAGGAAGAAGGTGTGAGTGAAGGCTTGCACTCTCTGCCACGTACGCTCACATCCAGATTTGCACATGTTGTTCCTTCTGTCCAGACAGCCTCCTTTGCCCCCTCGAGTGTTCCTGGCTCGGCAGTTTTAACTGACCCTTCCGACTCACTCACCACGTCGCTCTCTCCCCGGCATCCTGTGCTGGCTGTCACTGCCACGCACACCTGCCGCAGTCTGTGTAACGACCCTTTCACCGGCCACCTTCCCTCTAGTGGACGGCTTCCTGGAGGACGGTGGCCGTGGTTACCCGGGGCTCCTTGGTACCCTCCACTCATGTACTTCCTATCGCAAAACTGATGGTCTGAGGGAGGGAGGTGGTTTTCTGCGGGCTTCCAGCGACTTCCTCTGCCGGTCGGAGAGTTTCCTGGGAAATTCCTGCTGCGGCACTTCTGCGGGAGTCACTCTGATGCGCAGGTCTCAGTCCTGGTGACGGGGAGCGAGGCCACAAGGGTGCTGCGGTTCGGGTTTCTATAGTCCGTCCGTCCTTGATTTGAGGTTTGTGGTTCGCTCCTTTCAATTTTCACCTGGGCTACACACTACCTCAGCTTTTAATTTTTTTTTGTATTGAACTTTTTTTTATTCATTAATAATTTTATTTGGTGGGACTCTTACAAATCTTGAGACAATCTATAATTCAATGGCATTAAGCACACTTGTAAATGTTGCCATCAACATTTACCAAACATTTTCTTTCTACTTGAGCCCTTGGTAGCAGCCCCTCTTTTTTCCCCCCCTCCCTCCCCCACCCTTGTGAATCCTGGATCAATTATATATTATTGTTGTTATTTCATGTCCTACATCGTCTGTTGTCTCCCTACACCCACATTTCTGTTATTCATCCCCCTGGGGGGTGGGCTGTATATCCAACCTTGTGATGGGTTCTTCCTTTCACCCCTCCCCTCCCCCTTCAACCTCCACCTCATGATATTGCTACTATTCCCAAGGGTTTTATCTGTCCTGAATTCCATGTGTCGAGAGCTCTGATCTGTAGCGATGTGTGTACTCCGGTCTAGGTGGATTTGTAAGGTAGAATTGGGTCATGGTGGGGGGCAGGGGCATTCAAGAACTATAGGAATGATGTGTGTTTCATCAGTGCTATACTGCACCCTGCTTGAATACTCCTTTCCTTGTAATCCTTCTGTGACGGGGTTGTCCAATTGTCTACAGATGGGCTTTGGGTCTCCACTCCAACCCCCCTCATTCACATCGATATAATTGTTTCTTTTGGATCTTTTGATACCTGATCCTGTTGACACCTCATGATCACACAGGCTGGTGTGCTTTTTCCATGTGGGATTATTGGCTTCCCTGCTAGCTGGCTGCTTGTTTAACTTCAAGCCTTTAAGACCCCTGATGCTACATCTTTTGATAGCCGGGCACCATCCACTTTCTTCATCACATTTGCTTATGCACCCATCTTGTGTTCAGCAATTGTGTAGGGAAGGTGAGTATCAAAGAGTGCCTGGTTATTAGAACAAAGTGTTCTTGTGTTTAGGGAGGTCTTGAGTAGAGGTCCAAAGTCCGTCTCCTATGTACATGGCCTCTATCCCTTTCATTAGAAGTGAATATATTTACATATATACTGCTTATAGCTATACCTCTATAAATAGCTTTTGCTTCCAAGTTTTTCCCTCTATTTCCTTTTACTTTCCTCCTGTCCCACTATCATGCTCACCCTCCACTTGGCTCTCAGTAATTCCTCTTGGATACATTGCAGGTGTTCAAACCCAGGCCTCCTCGCCATCATTTTTCAGATCTCTTGTTGTTTCCTCATCCCTGAGTTTGTTGGCTCCCTGCTCCCCGTCCCCCCTCCATCCTCTCCCATTCCCCCCCCACCACCACTCTGATCCCACTGTGTTCTCCTCAGGATTGTTTGTCCTCCCTATCTTACATAGTTAGACTTACTTCCTCACCGTTTTGAAAGAGAATGTGTGACAGTTAGACTCATTTATCAGTTCTGGTTTTCCTCTTTTAAAAGACACGTGGATCCCCTAATTTCCAGACTTTTCGGTGTACCTTTCTTTCTCTCTCATTCCCTCACATACCCCTTGAATCCTTAAAACACCTCCTCTTTCAGGCAGCAGACAAGTATTGTTTTATCCCTTTCACAGACAAGAAAGGAAGGTCTTGCTAAGGGTCACAAGAGAAGTTAGAAATAATGCCAGGCACCAAGCCTGCCTCTTTCCTGCTCCAGCCTCCAGTACCTTTCCCCTGCTACTGCTGCTGTGGCCTTTTCCTTGCCCTGACAAGTGATTACGTCATCTACCTTCTCCAGGCGCAATTTCTCCCCCTGGATTTGGATTCTTTTTTTAAACAATAGATCCCCAAAGTAGTGAAATAGTGGAATTACTGAGTTATAAAGTGTGTGTGTGTGTGT